ATGACTGTGCCAAAACTTAAAAAGGTTACTACAAAATATTTGTTTTTATTACAAGTTTTTCTTAAAGAAAAGTTTAAATTATGTTCACAATTATAGTTTATACGTGTAAATTTTGTGTAAACATTATATTTTTGTATTTTTATGGATCACAGCCGTTTTATAATATATAAATATAAACTTTTGATTAGTACTGTATATATATATGACTTTGATCTGTGCATTTTATAACACAAAATATTCATAAAGAATCGTTTAAGGGCGATTTTTAATCGAATATAATCTGATTGATTCAGAGTTCTGCAATATTAACAGAGAAAGATGTTCATATCTATTTCAAGGAAGAGTTTCATCAATATATGTGTAGCATTAAAACACGTGGTGTGGTTTACACTTTGCTACAGCTAACCAACGAGCAGAAACGTAACGGTGTCATAGCAATCTCAACAGGCTATTTGGCTCAAATTCTCTGTTACTTTGGACGAAAGTTTGGAATACCAGTGACAGTAGTAATGCCAACATCAACGACAGAAAATATAGTCAATATGTGTCGACATCTGGGAGCAACAGTAATTGTTCAGGGTGACAGTATAATAGAAGTATTCAATATCGCTTGGGAAATTGCCAGTACAAGAAATTTAAGTTATCTTGACGGGTACTTTATTTTAATAAAATCGTAGTTAAATGCGTGTTTATAGTGCATATTAATTTTGTTGTACATTAATCTCAGTCGTCAAACTAAAAATAACATAACAGTAATACTATAATTTCGTATACTCTACAACATAAATGTAAGATAAATTCATTACACAATAGTTACATTGTGGAGTACGAAATTATAATATTATATGTTATATATATATATATTTTTTTTTAGTTTGAGTCGACTAGGACGTATTCCAATATGTAAAAGTAAAATGCAAATATTTCGAATCATAAAATAATAGATTTTATTTAACAACACGATAAAATATATTGAGAATGTTATGATTATTTATATATTTTTACTAAACATACATTTTTACGTCAATTTATGCATGATGATGTGCTTCAATGCGCACTGAGTGCATCCAATCGAAAAACAAAAAATTCGCTATTAATTAAAATACATTCTCGTTAAAAAATTATATTTTCATCAATTGTTTCTATTTTCTTTATGTGACAAATTTTATTTTATTGTTCGAAAACTAATTAATTAAAATAAAACGTTTATTTGAATTTTTACGTATTTATAATTTTATTTTATTATTATCTTAGGATATGTTTGCTTTGTTCTAATAATTTTACTTTTCACGATCAAAAAATATTTTGTGACATTTTTTTAATAGGAACGATCATCCGAACATGATTATTGGCCAAGCTACTTTGGGCATAGAAATTTTGGAACAGTTAGATTTTATAAAGACGATTGGCGCAGTGATACTACCTACGACGATCGATGGGTGTGGAGTAACCGCGTGTATTGCAATGACTATCAAAGAATGGAATTCAAATATAAACATTATTGTGAGTAAAGTATACTATCTCAGTTTTTGAACATGGCCGGAGACACTACCGCGTCTCCTGATTCCATCATAAATTATTATGCAAATAATTTCATGTTTTAATTTTGTTTCATGAAAACAATTATATCCCTTATAAACTTTTTAATTATATTAACATCTCAATCTTAATAGGAGGTCCAAACTATGGATCAAGATCCTTTAGTTGTCAATGTTAGACGAAAATATCATCAAATAACTATTTGCGACCAGAACGTACACGAAGCATATACTAATCTTCTTAAAGACATAAGGCTACATTTATTCGATCAGATTATTACGGTATCGGAAACACTTATTCAAGAAGCTGCCGATTTTCTACTAATAAAAGAAAACATTAATGACTATTACGCAGCAATCGCTTTAGCCGGAATGTTAAGTGGTACCATTGACAATTTAATAAAACAAAAAAGGTGATTTCTTCTATAAATTCAATTTTTTTTAAAATTTTACACGTTTCGTAATAAATAATGAACTGATTGATTTTTATTTAAGGATGTATTATATCCATTTTTATAAATGTGGTTCTGAATTTCTTCAAAAATTGTTGAAATATACAAATTCGGACAATTACAAAATGAGATATTTTTCGCCAAATTTCGATATAATACTGTCTGAATTTGTCAGAATTTTTATTTTTTATATTTTTCGAACAAATTCTAACAAATTTTTTCCAGGGCAATAATTATGATTTAAATGAATAGCTAAATATTTATATATGAAAGTTATGTTTACATATTTTTATCATATAACACTTTTTTATTATTCTTTCATGTACTTCTTTTGTTATTATGTTTATTATTTATTATAAATTAAAAATGAAAAAACAATGACAAAAATTCTAATCTTTTTGTATTAAATTTTTTGTGGTTTAATAATTTTCAAAATAATTTATTCTGTAAAGTTGTGATTTAAAGATTAGTTACACAGATTTAGAAAAAATAAATTATTTAAAAAATGTATAATATATCCTTATTACCTCGCTGAAAATTATTATTAGTTAAATCGATATAAATCGATCAACGTCGATAATACTAGAGAATTCACATCAACTCATTTTTAAGTGACAAAGAATATAATGTGCTGTAGTATTTTAATTAGTAGTATTATAATATATAATTATGTGTTTGACAGTGTGCTGATACCTATATTCGGCAGAAAGGATAACTCTGAGTATTCCATGAATAAATTAAATTTGCAGCTTGATTCCTCAGGTTCCTCAGCATCTACTTCTTTCGACAGAACTGGATCCGAATAAGTGTCTTTTTATAGTTGTATTTCCGATTGTTGACTAAATGTGGCTGAACTAATGTACATTTTTGGAACTTAAAGTGAGTTAGGTACATGTAATATTTATTGAAAGTGAAAAAATGAGAGTTCTAGTGCAGTCAAGTGCAGGAACAGAAAACAAATTAAAAACAAATTGTATATGTATTTAATCTTCAAAATCAGAAATACAGAACGAATTGCTCAAGTCGAGAAAGGCAATTTGATTAAAATTAGAAAAGAGATAGTTTTAATGACAATTTGTTTTCAGACAGATTCTTTATATTAAGAAGATAAAGTCATCTCTATTTTACAAATCTAGTAGAATTTTACACACACATATAATATTTATATATGTTTTTATTATATAACATTTTTTTATTGTTCTTTCATGTACTTCTTTTGTTATTATTTCTATTATTTATTATAAATTAAAAATTAAAAAACAATGACAAAAATTCTAATCTTTTTGTATTAGATTTTTTATGGTTTAATACTTGTGTGTTATTATTATTAGGTATGTGTTAATATTTATAGGTTTGCCGTGTTATTTAAAATCCCCAAAAATGTTTGCACTTAAAACAGGAGAAATATAAATTCAGACGTTAAAAAGAGAGAACAAAGATGCTAGATGCAAAAAGTATACAGGCAACGCGAACAAGCCTATTGACACTCGACTATACACATTATATACTACATCCCCAAATAGCATCTAATCCAATATCACAGTAACATCGTTTTTTCACTGCAATATTACAATAAAATCTAATAAAAATATTGCTAAAATATTACTGAGATGTTACAGTAATATTACGAATTTTTAATGTCATTTAAAAAATTATTTTATACAATATTAATTGAAAAATAATACTGATTGTCAATACGATAACTATTATATAATATTATAATAAATTGAAAAAGTTATGATACAATAAATATCAATTAAAAAAAATAACGAATGTAAATCAATAATATAATACAATAAAATGCAATAATAAATAACAATATAATTGAGACGTTTTATTGCCACAATATACAGGAAGCTGATTAAATTAGTCGACGATTAACGAGAAGTACCAACATTAATGTATCAGAACGCCTCCTCTCTCTTCTTCTTACGAAATAAACTGTGTTTAGTTCTCATGTTGGCAATCATGATGATTTAGTTAATCATCGATTAGCTTATTAGTTAATCGGAGTTGGTAAAAGAGAAATTAATCAATTAAAAGTAAAATTGATCCATCAGATTGCACGCAGCCAGAGTATATAAGAAGCGTACAACATGCCATATGGGACCACTCGAGCTTGCTATTAATTTTATTATAATTAAGTAAATTTATTTATTTATATGAGAGAAGTTAGAATAAAATTTGTATCACACGGGATAATGCATAGCAAAAATTTGAGTTCGTATATGCAACAAATCAATTAAAGTAGACTCTCGAAAATTTCAAATAACAAGAATATGAAGGCTAATGAGAGCTATTCGCTGTTATTAGTGCGATCATGTATAAGATATGTTAAAGTTCGTACATGCATTTATACATATATATAGGGTGCGTTCCACTTACATTCGCGCAACGCGCATGTGTGCATCATTTTATTTTTACATTTAATATTGTTTGGTGACAAGAAGGATGAAATGATGCTCGCGAGCGTTCTGAACACGATAAGTGAAACCTTTAATAAATAATAAACTAAATTTGATGAATAATAAACCAAATTTAATATATTTTCTTGATTTAAATTACTTCACTTTATATTATTATATAGTTTCAGTTAAACTTTAACTGAAACTACCTTAACAGTTAAAGTAACATATTAAGTAAGAGCATTATATAGGGACTTACAAAAATAATTAAAAATAATTCCAATTGAATATAATTTTAGGGGATATTATATGTATTTACTTATTTTGGGGGGAATTCGCTTGATGCACCTGTATAGTATCTTATATATATGTTCCAAAAGCTATATATGTACAAAAAGGCTTATAAAGTTCAAATGCGACGAGGAAACCCCGGGCAATAAACGCGAGTGATTGCTGCGCATGCGCGACCTTCACCGGCTTTCCGGCAGTTCAAAGTTTCCGTAGTTTGCTGCAGTTCGCTGTAGATGCTGTCGCTATCTGCGTGGAGCGTGGAGTGCGTGGTGTGGTTGCTAACCTTAATCGATGCACACTGATGTTGAATCTGATCTGTTTCTCTAAAGAGTGAATGCGAAGACAATGGCGTTTAAAATCGCCCTCAATCCAGTTAATCACGTATTAGGTAAAATTTCACGCAAATTTTAGTCTAATTCAAATTTGACGTCACTTTCATTTTTAGTTTGTAAAACGTTCTACTTTGTACTTCAGAACAAGCAAAACAATTATTGAAACGAGTATTTAAGTTTCTTCCCTTTTTTTTTTATTAATTTTTTTTCTTTTTATTTTTGTAGTTTATATTTATCCTACTTTCTATACTGCCTTATTTGTTGACGCTTATATGTTGCATCATGTAACGTCAAGTCGAGTATTCAGGACAATTATCCCAGATGTTTCGTCATAAACAATAAATAAAGACACTTTTGACGATAATATTATGTAATTTAGCGTGTCACATTGTTATGTTAAGTGAACGTGAAAAATATATAAGTTAATGAAGAGAAGAACAAATGATACTCTTTCAATAATTTCATCAGCTTGCAACCAACGTACTGCGTTGGTATATTGAGTCAACTTATTTTTTTAAGTTTATGTATATTCCTTATGAAATATCAATAATAAATGTTGTTGTTAAGCTAATTAAGTGGAGACTTCTATTGTAATGTTATTTTGTCGTAACCTTCAATATTTACAAACTTTCATAGCCATTTAGATTTTAATATTTTAACAGATTTATCAAGTTTAATTTAGCATAAATTATGTAACAACACATAAAAATTTTATTTTATATAAAAAGATGTAATAACATAAAATTTAACTTGGAATAAAATAGTGTAACGTAATAATTGTTCTAAATTATAGATTTGACAATTGTTTTAATATCTATCTTTTCTATTAGATGAACTAGTTATTGCTGTAGATGTAGATATTAAGTTTTATATGTAAACATTAACATTATGTAATATCAATATTAAATATATATATATATAATATAAACATGGTGGTTTTATATTTGTATAATTTATCTGAATTTTAAATTTTTTAGATGTGCTAGTAGTGGCCGAGGTAATTATATCTGAAAATAGAGATATAATAATATCATGGAATAAAACTTGGAATGACAAGTCAGATGTTTGTTTGTATAATAAAGATAACAAACTATTAGGACAATATAATAATGAAATTACCCGATATTTAGCAAGGGCAATGTATCCCTTACTTTATGGTATATACTTTGCAAACATTTTTATGATTATTTAAGTATAAAAAATCTAGAAATCTTATTGATATTAAATAGTTTCTTTTTTTGTTAAATATTATGTCAAAATCAACTAAGATATATATTGCTGTGAATATAATTTTACTATTGTATATTATCTCTGTTATTACATAGAATAATATTGTTAGGTGGTACCTGTCCTTATGAAAGAACAGAAATCGATCACTGGATATCCTGTGCCCTAGTATTGCAAAATATACAAACAAACAAAGATCTTTTAAACTATCTGAATAATGTATTAATAGCACGGACATGGCTCGTCACTAAAAGATTAACATTGGCTGATATTCATGTGTTTTGTGTTTTGTATCGTCATGAATATATAAAATTGTATGCAAAAGATTATTGTAACATTACTAGATGGTATAAGCATATGGAATCGCTTCCTGTTTTCAATAATGCAATATCTATGATTACAAAAAATTGTTCTTCAATTTTGAAACCAAAAGATATAAGTCCACAAAAGGAAAAGTCTGATGCCAAACAAACAAAAACAAGAAAACAGGAGGGCAAATTCATTGATCTTCCTGGAGCAGAAATGGGCAAAGTAAAATCATACAATACAATATAATAGATTAGTTAGATTTTTAAACTTAGATTTGTAACTTTTAAAATTTTTTGTTATTTATTTCTGTAGGTAGTAGTAAGATTTCCACCAGAAGCAAGTGGCTACCTGCACATTGGTCATGCCAAAGCAGCTCTTTTAAATCAGTATTACGCCGAGGCTTTTCAAGGACAACTTATCATGAGATTTGATGATACAAATCCAGCGAAGGAGACTGTAGAATTTGAGGAAGCTATATTGGAAGATTTAAAATTACTGCAGATTAAGCCTGACCGTTTTACGCATACTTCGGATTACTTTGATTTATTGCAAGAGTATTGTACTACACTAATTAAGGATGGAAAGGCATACCTGGATTGTACCCCGGCGAATCTTATGAAAGAACAACGAGATAAAAGATTGAAATCTGAATATCGAGATCTCTGTAAGTAATAATTTTTCAGAAAAAGTATTAATTTTCTGACTATCTCGATTCTAATAATAGTATTCCGCCTTTATAGCCCCTTCCGAAAATCTGCAATTGTGGGAAGAAATGAAACGTGGTACTGAAAAGGGCCAAGAATATTGCGTTAGAGCAAAGATTGATTATCAATCAACAAATGGATGTATGCGTGATCCTACAATTTACCGTTGCAAATTAGAATCTCATCCACGTACTGGAAACAAATACAAGTATTTTTATTTTTTGATATTTTAACAAGATGTTAATTAAAATAACTTGAAATATTTAAGTAATTATAATAATAAAACATTTTAACATTTGATTATTTTGTTAATGTTAATTACATTAATTATTTTATATTGATATAAATTTGGTTAATAATGTTGTGATACAATGTATGTATATATATAAATATATATTTTATCTGTTTATATTAGGATATATCCTACATATGATTTTGCCTGCCCAATTGTTGATGTTATCGAGAATGTTACTCATACTCTACGAACAACAGAATATCATGATAGAGATGTTCAATTTTATTGGATAATCGAGGCTTTGGGACTGCGTCGCCCGTATATTTGGGAATATTCACGATTAAATATGACTCATACGGTTTTATCTAAACGAAAATTAACTTGGTTTGTAAATGAAGGTCTAGTCGATGACTGGGACGATCCACGTTTTCCAACAGTAAGAGGCATTCTAAGACGAGGAATGACAGTCGAGGGTCTGAAACAATTCATCATCGCACAAGGTAGTTCCAGATCTGTGGTCTTTATGGAATGGGACAAGATATGGGCTTTTAATAAGAAAGTCATCGATCCAGTTGCGATCAGGTATAACGAAAATATAATTAAGAATTTGATAATAGAATGGATATTTTTTAAAAACGTTTAATTTTAGGTATACTGCACTGGATTATAATGAATTGATACCAGTTAATGTAATAGATGCTAAGCAAGAATGGTTGAGTGTGCAAAATCATCCTAAAGATTTATCTAAAGGTACCAAACAAGTGCGAGTAAGCTCGAAAATTTTGATAGAAAAGGAAGATGCTGAAAGATTAATTGAGGGACAGAATGCAACCTTTATTAATTGGGGTAACATAATGATACAAAAGATAAATAAACAAGGTGACAAAATAGTAGATGTGGAAGCACGATTAAATCTAGAGGACAAAAATTACAAAAATACCTTGAAGATCACATGGCTAGCTGAATCGTTATCTAAGTCTGATCCAAATGCAGAAAAATCAAATCCAATAAAATGTTACGCTGTTTACTTTGGTCACATTATGAGTGTACCGGTTTTGGGCAAAGACGACGATTTTAAAAACTTTGTTGCCAAAGATACAAGAGTAAAGAATTTTTCACTTATAAATAAATAAATTGATAATTATTATATATATTGCTAATTGCTTATAAAAATTCTTATTTTAGAAAGAAATTCGAATGTTGGGTGAAGTAGAACTAACACGCGTGAAAAAGGGAGAGATAATTCAGCTTCAGAGAAAGGGATTCTTTATTTGTGATGTTCCATATGCATCTAATTCTTATTCAACACAGGAACAACCAATTATACTGTTTCATATACCTGATGGGCATACAACAACACCTTATATAACGCCTGCGGTATCCTATAATCAACAGGTAAAATCAGTATACTTTATTTTCTACAATTACTATCTCATTATTTATTATTATCTTATAATTTTTAAGAGTTTAAAAGTAAAAAAAATATTTTTAGAATGATCCCGTTAATCTTGCAACAAGAGCAGAGCTAATTTCTAAAAAAATAAAAAAGCAGAGTGACGAAGTACAAAATCTAAAAAGTTTGAAAGTCGACAAGAACATTATTGAACAAGAAGTAAAGATCCTCTTGATCTTAAAGAGTGACTACAAAATTGTAACTGGTCAGGATTGGAAACCAGCTGATACTAAAGTTGATAGTACTGAAGCAAAACCAGAGAATAAACAAATTTTGGAAGCGGACAAAATATCCGAAGAAATAAAGAAACAAGGAGATAAAGTACGAAATCTAAAAAGCTCAAAAGCTAATAAGAGCATTATTGATCAAGAAGTGAAGGTTCTCTTAAGTTTAAAAAGTGACTTTAAAAATGTGACTGGTCAGGATTGGAAACCAGCCGATACTGAAGTTGCTAGTACTGAAAGTAAGATAAAGCCAGAGAACAAAGGAACTTTGGAAGCGGAGAAAATATCTGGAGAAATAAAGAAGCAAGGCGATAAAGTACGAACTGTAAAAAGTTCGAAAGCTGACAAAAGCATTATTGATCAAGAAGTAAAGATTCTCTTAAGTTTGAAAAGTGACTATAAAAATGCGACTGGTCAGGATTGGAAACCAACTGATACTAAAGTTGCTAGTACTGAAAGTAAGACAAAGCCAGAGAACAAAGGAACTTGGGAAGCGGAGAAAATATCTGAAGAAATAAAGAAACAAGGAGATAAAGTACGAAATCTAAAAAGCTCGAAAACTAATAAGAGCATTATTGATCAAGAAGTGAAGGTTCTCTTGAATTTGAAAAGTGACTTTAAAAATGTGACTGGTCAGGATTGGAAACCAGCTGATACTAAAGTTGCTAGTACTGGAAGCAAGATAAAGCCAGAAAATAAAGGAACTTTGGAAGCGGATAAAATATCCGAAAAAATAAAGAAGCAAGGCGATAAAGTACGAAATCTGAAAAACTCGAAAGCTGACAAGATTATTATTGATCAAGAAGTGAAGGTTCTCTTAAGTTTGAAAAGTGACTATAAAAATGCAACTGGTCAGGATTGGAAACCAGCTGATACTAAAGTTGCTAGTACTGGAAGCAAGATAAAGCCAGAGAATAAAGAAACTTCGGAAGCGGAGAAGGTATCTGAAGAAATAAAGAAGCAAGGCGATAAAGTACGAAATCTAAAAAGTTCGAAAGCTGACAAGAGCATTATTGATCAAGAAGTAAAGGTTCTCTTAAGTTTGAAAAGTGATTATAAAAATGCGACTGGTCAAGATTGGAAACCTGTGAATTCGGATGCAGCATCGAAAAAGGAAAAGCAAAATACTTCTAAGCTTGAAAAGACATCGGAGAAAGAAGTTATAAAAAATGCGAACAATGACTCAGATTCAAGCAAAACAGGAACAAGATTAGGATTAGAAGCAAAGAAGGAGGAAAATTTCACTGATTGGTACTCGCAAGTTATTACGAAAAGTGGAATGATTGAATATTATGACGTGTCAGGATGTTACATTCTTCGTCCGTGGAGTTTTTCGATTTGGAAGATAGTAAAGGAGTTTATTGACAAAGAAATAACGGATACCGGTGTTCAAGAATGCTACTTCCCGATCTTCGTTACTCGCAGCGTATTAGAAAAGGAAAAGGCGCATATAACAGACTTTGCGCCGGAAGTCGCGTGGGTGACAAAATATGGTGAAACCGATTTGGCGGAGCCCATAGCTATACGGCCCACCTCGGAGACTATCATGTATCCAGCTTATGCCAAATGGCTGAGATCAGACACCGAGTTACCACTTAGGCTTAATCAGTGGAACAACGTTGTGGTAAATACTACTGTTATTGTGATTGGAATTTTTTCCTTATTTTAATTCCGCTCCATTTCAATTATTTTATTTATGTTTACAGAGATGGGAATTTAAAGATCCCAAACCTTTCTTACGCACCAGAGAATTTTTATGGCAGGAAGGCCATACTGCGTTTGCTACTAAGGCAGAAGCGGAAGCGGAAGTATTGATGATTTTAGACTTATATGCTAGGGTCTACGAGGATTTGTTAGCGGTGCCCGTCATTAAAGGCCGCAAGACTGAAAAGGAGAAATTCGCGGGTGGCGAATATACTACTACTGTTGAAGCGTTTATTCCGATTAACGGTCGCGCAATACAGGGAGCGACAAGCCATTATTTAGGACAAAACTTTTCGAAGATGTTTAATATTCAAGTAGAAGGTATCGAGGGTCGAGAAGAAAAAACGTTTGTTTATCAAAATTCGTGGGGTTTAACTACACGAACGATTGGAGTCATGATAATGGTCAGTGTAATCATTATTGTCATGTGTATAGAATATATATATTTATATACTTTTGCAACAAATATTTATTTAGGTACACGGAGATGATCGAGGTTTAGTATTACCTCCAAATATAGCACCCATACAAATCATTGTGATTCCCTGCGGTATAGCTGTGAACATGGATGAACACACAAAAGAGAGTATTCTAAAGAAATGCGATTGGCTAGTTCGTCATTTGGGTCAAGAGGGTAAATTTAGAGTGAAAAGTGATTGTAGATTTTCTCGAACACCTGGATGGAAATTCAATCACTGGGAATTGAAAGGCGTGCCAATAAGGCTTGAAGTAGGTCCGAAGGATTTGTTAAAAAATCAAGTAACAGTCGTACGAAGGGATAACTCCCAGCGAACAGCTATCGAAATATGCAACGATAACATAATTGCTCCGTTAACTTCAATATTGAATGATGTGCAAAGACAATTATTATCAAGGTATTACTAAAAAATTTCTTAGATTCATGTGTATATATATATAACAAGCAATTTCATCTGTTTGTTTATAGAGCGAGAAGCGAGTTAAACGAGCATATTAAACAAGTAGAAAAGTGGAGTAATTTCAACCCCGAGCTTAATAAAAAGAATTTATTGTTGGCACCTTTTTGCGGAGATCCAGCATGTGAAGATAAGATTAAGGAGGATAGTAAGGAAGATAAAAGGTAAAATTTTCCTCTGTATATAAAAAATCTTTATATGTTTATATATATTTATATATGTTGCATCATTATATAAGAAAAAAGGTGCATTTTAAATTATCAAAATATCGATTTAAAACAAATTTTATTAAAAAAGTAGGTTGTATATTTTATACATTTTGAGAATTTACGTTAGTTTAAATATATATAACTGTATATCGTACATTGGTTTTTCTTTATGTTAATAATTTGAAAATCTAAACGTAAATTAGTTTTATTAGAAAAATATCTAATTATATTAGATATCTTATATATTTAATTTAGTTTCAAGAAAAGTAAATATATTTAAATAACCTACCTGAATTATAATTAACAGCAATTCTTCTTTAATTTTTCAATTTAAATTTTGGTTTTATGATTAATTATAGTGAAAGCACAGAAAGTGGATCATTAATGGGCGCCAAGAGTCTATGCATACCATTTGATCAGCCAAAAATAACAAGATCACTCGATGAACTAAAATGTATTCATCATAGTTGCAGAAATAAGCCGAAATTTTATACACTTTTCGGACGCAGTTACTAATACATCTATAAAAGTAAGATTCTTGTATAATGTTTAATAAATATTTCTGCAATTTTTTGTATTCGATTAATATGAGATTTTATGAATTTTTAATTTTTCTTTAAATCGTTAAAATTTTTTTATTGTGCATGTATAAACTTTTGTTCCGTAATATTGTGTGCATATATTTAATAATATAAATCTGTATTCTAATGTTTATTCTCATTCGATTTTTGTTATCTACTCCACAGTACATTATCTATTTTAATTTTATTTATTCTTTTTATGACATCTTTCTTATTTATAAATATAAAATTACATGATTGGAAATTGTAATTATTGATAGTTATATCAACGTTCTTAAGTTATCAAAGAATGAAGTAAATAATGCATTTAGATAAAATTAATAACAATAGCGTGTTTGTAGCACTGATCGGAACGTCCTAAAAATGTCCAGAAGACGTTCCTGTGTCCTAAGACATTTCCAAGATATGTCTCGAATAAAGTGTGCTATATGGAAAAGAACGGAGTAGCCAATAAATCGTTTAAAAATTGGCTCGCAATTTCGTGACTCCACGATGAGAAGTGATCAGAGATCCTCGCATGCACAATCGATTTCACGCGTTGATTGTTTTTCACTTCCAAATATAATGGCTGCGCTCGAATGAGACGCGGATTCTTACCTTCCTCCCGTCGCATACCAGGCACAAGCTGGTCCAAAATTCTAGTGCTCGCAATCGCCTCAAATGACCAAACGGATTCGCATTGTCGCCGTAAGCGTCGACGTAGTAACGAGACATCATTCCGTTATAGTACTCGGTGATGCTTCGTGTACCGCTGAAATCGTGTTAACGAAACTTGTCACTGCCGGCCGAGAAATAACGTGCGTGAACGCGAAGGGAGCAAGATAGAGAAATTCTCAGTGAGTTCTATAAGCATTTCCCACGCACTTGTCGGGGTGAGAAGACGATCGAAGACTCTGTTAACTACCCGTCCTCGAGAGAGGAAGGGTCAGTGATGAGGGGTCGATGAAGAATTATTGGCATGGCCAAGCGACTCAGCCCTCGAAACTCGGAGGTGAACGCTCTTGAGCAGCGAGGCTATCTCATAGGCAAGAAGATCGGACAGGTTGTTTATTATTCCCTTTTGTCTTTCATTCTTTTTAACACCTCACGTCTTCTTTCTACCTCTTCCGTTCTCACTATAGCACTTCCTTCAATTTGTATAACGCAAGATATACAGGAAGGTCTTTATTTTTATTTGTCTCTCTTTTAATAATATAAGTGATTAGTTTTGATTGTCGTTTAATCAATTTCTTTATTATTTCCTAATTTATATTTACGAACTCCACGATGGATCAAATTAAAAGATCCTTAGCACCATTATATTATACAAAACTACGAGATGGGAATATTCATTTTTTGAATTAGACACCTCTTTCAGGGTTCTTATGCAACCGTCCATCTGGCAGAATATATTGATGGAGCAAGCATGAAAAAGATGCGTCTGGCTTGTAAGATCTTTGATAAAGAAAAAGCGCCAGATGATTTCTTGGATAAGTTCTTTCCTCGCGAGCTTGAGATTTTAACAAAGATAGAAAATCCGCATATCATTCAAGTAAGAGTAACCAGAAAAATCTCCGCTCATCTCTCTGATTAATAAGAGAGGAACAATTCTGGTGAAAATTAAAGTTAAACGCTTTTCCCTTTTTTTTTTTCAAAATTAAGGTTGAAAATCTCTTCAGCAATTCTCTTTTAAACGAGCATAGTTAATAATTATTTTACAATAACATGAATAAAATAAAATTTAACAATATTGAAAGTAACTTTAAGCTCTCTATGCACGTTAGAAAATTCTTGAAACTTTATTATAATAAAGTTAAATTTGGGTAAGATAAAGGATTAATACGATTAGTAAATTGTAGTCTATTTGATTACACTTCGCCCAATTCTGCCATTAATGCATCAGCAATCCTAATCGCCTGGTCGAGCACAGGTGCACAGCATTCTGCAACGCGGTCCGCGTGTCTTCATCTTCATGCGCTATGCCGATAATGGTGATCTTTTGGATTTCGTGAAGTGCAACGGCGTAGTGCCGGAACAACAGTCACGATTGTGGTTTCGTCAGATGGCGTCCGGCTTGCACTACCTGCACAGCAAGAATATCGCCCACCGGGACCTCAAGTGCGAGAACATATTGCTCTCGCGAAAGTTCAATGTGAAACTGGCGGACTTTGGTTTTGCCAGGTTCTGCATGGACCACGAGGGCAGGCGGGTTCTCAGCCAGACGTACTGCGGTTCAGCGGCCTATGCCGCGCCGGAGGTCGTCGCCGGTACTCCGTACAATCCAAAATTGGCGGACGTTTGGTCGCTCGGTATTATCCTCTTCATCATGTTGAACGGGACAATGCCATTCGACGACGAGAATCTACCGAAGCTCCTCAAAGATCAGATATCTCGCAATTGGGTGTTCAGGTCCCGCGTCCGCGACACCGTGTCCACGCTGGCTAAGAACATCGTCCGGCAGATTCTCGAACCGGACATCACTCTCAGACTTACGCTCGAGAGGATGCTGGGCCACGAGTGGGTGAGAGCAAGGAAGGATAAAACAGGCTCCCTTGCCGGAAGACTCGTCCACTCAGCGCCGCCGAGTCATACTCCGGTTACGATAAACAATATAATTCTAGTGTTACATTCAAGATTCCTGGTCTCCATATTACAATATGTTCATAAAAACAAAGAATTATGTGAATTTTTTAATATATTGTATATAAGTTTTTATAGTAGAAATTGATATAAAATATGCAGAGAGTTCTTTTTTATTTGTTGTTTGATAATAAATGAATATATAATTCAGTTTATAAATCTTTAACGAAATTACAGCTTAAGACAATTTATTAGAATCATTTATTAATCGGAAAAAGTTTTTAATATATTCTGAAAAATGTAATGGTTACAATATCTAAAAAAGATCAATTTATTTTGGTATGTAAAGCTAAACGTTATTTTGTCATAATTCAATTCACTTTCAGTGAGAAACCAGGAGTCTTAAGCAATAATAAACGACATTTGCAATAGTCACAGTTCTTGAAGAATGAATCTTCGCATAAAATTTCGAAAATTAGTTCACTTTTGAGCGTGCAATTATCCATGGAATTTACAACCGAGGAATAATTGCAACATTTCACATAATTATTTTGAAAAAGCATAACAATTTATCGCCTATACAATTAGATGTGTGGAGGCGGTAATCTAGGCGGGTCAGGAACCGGAAACGTACCTGTCGTAACAAGGGCACAACCTGCATTAAAAAATTTGGAAAATCAGACTCAACCGTCCTCGAAAATGGTAAATACCTCACGGAAAGATCCACAGTTGCCTATCACCGTGGGATAAGAAGATTCGAAAAAGAATCAATGAATACATTGACAAGCTATACAATCAAAAAAATGAGATTTAACAAAGACTAATAATTTCGAACAGTTATTTTTGAAGATGTTTACACTTGTCCTTACTAATATATTTTTTAATTTTCTATTGATTGCACGAACAATAAAATTTATACGGATGTTAACGTATTATTGCTAAATAAAGACGTCCATAATAATTTGATGTAAACCACATGTCGAACAAGGAAAATTTAATCGATTAACACGTTAAATGTTATTCAATAATTAATTTCTACATTTTTCTACAAATTGTCCGATTATCATGCCGTTAATTTGATGGCACGATGGATACAGAAATTAAAAAAATTGTCAAATACATTAATAAGTTTATTGTACAGTTACTGCCTATTAATATACAAAACTATACTTTTTTTTGGTTACATACACATATAACGAGATATTTCCTATGAATATAATATATAAGTGATATATTTCTTCTTCTACATCTAATTTACATTAAAATAACAAATAATTTACACGATTCGATCTCTTGCGTTGTAAAGTCGAGCTCAGTTAGTATAGCACCTTGGGATAACTGAAGAGGACACTGACACGCATTATGAGGGAGGATTACAAGGAAGAAGTCTCTAGCGACATAAAAGAAATCGCAAATTGAAAATAATTTTCAAGACGGCCGTATATAAACCACTCGAAATCACGGACGGTTTTATGCGCTATGGTGATTTTGTTTTTTTAAAGGATTAAAATCCATTTTTTTCTTTGTTACAGAATGTTGCTAACATCACGCGCGATATGTTTTTAGATTTTTTCATTATGCAGACTTGATGTATTTGTTTATAAATTCGATTTTTATTCAAGGCAATAGATTTCTTTAAGTAGAAAAAGTTTCGTATAAAAGTATATTTTTGTAAAATAGTTTCACAAACGTCTATTTATAAAATAATTGTAAATGTAGAAAACGGATTATTTTTTTCGTGAAAAAGAGGCCATGAGATTATAACGTTTGTCAACACTGTTAGTATACCTTGTAAATAAGGTAAACACATTGGTAAACGTTCTGAAGTAGCCTCCTGTCGAATAAAAATAACTATAATTGCTAAAACTCTTCCGCTCGCGCGTAGAAAGGACACAATGTTTTATTTACAGCATATAGTGTTAAAATGTGATAAATACGACCAGATTTAAGTATTTTTACAAATGTACTAACATGCAAAAACGTCGGTCCTTAAACAGGCACATAACGAGCGCGACGCATGTAGATAATGCTTAGAGTACCTATCATGGAATAAAGTCGGAATTATCCGATTTTTCCTAAAAAATACAATAGAAATCTAGGGAATAATTGAACAATTCCGATCGGAGTCCATTCCGACTTTGTTCCACGATAGGTAATCTGGGGTACTATTCTGTAATTGTTTTTACACGTCTACCGACAGTAGTCGATGTCGTTGTGCAGATATTTTGTATGGTAAAAAAGTTGCGCAACCATACTGATAAGGCGTGTAAAAACAGTTACAGAATAGCATCTCAGAACGCATCTCATCGCTTCTCAGAATATGTTAGAACCCGTTTCGGTTTTATCCACTCATTGCAGTACTGGATTAAGCCCATCCACCAGTCAATTTGTGGAACAAGTCTTCGTTCAACGTTTGATTCGCCTCCTTCGAACGCATCGACAGAAAGATATAGCCTCCTATAAATTCGTGGACAACTTTACAGTCCGCTGATTGACATTCAAAAATGATATTCTCTTCTTCGAATTGTACCATCATGTGTTTTACTTCCCAGTTAACATTCCACGCCTGTAAAAGAGATCGTACACTTTCATTTTGTATTTAAAGATATGTATATAATATATATATATTAATATATTATACTTTTACTAAAATATATTTTATATACCTTTACTAATATATATTATATACCTTTACTAAATTTTTTAATTATAGATTTTAGTCAATTTCAAATAATTTTTTCTGTGCAAAAATTATTTATTGTCAGTTTTTAATTTTTAACATTACGTTTTGTCAAAATAAAGGAATATGAATAAAAATCTATAGGAGAGGACACAAATAAAATGAATACGTACCTTCATAGTATTATACCTCCAAGTTTTTAAATGATCGCCAGTGTGAAGGTCCATCCGCATTAACCTATTATTGGCGATACCTAGTAGCTCATCCTTGCTTTTACCAGTAAATCGTACGATGAAGAGTGAGATACCATATTCCGGCAGGGACTGCCAGGCTTTGATATAATTTAGTTTCGCCTCGACAAGAGGCAAGTCTTTAACGTTCGCGTGTGCTTCTAAGATCCTCTGAACCAGCTACATGAAAAAAAGTATCAGCACAGTGTTGAACACTTCGTCATCCAATAATGAAGATTTATTTAAATGAGAACGATTTGTTACCTTTCCTTTGAATTTCTTCGCGAATCGAGGTGCAACATAGTCTTCCGGTACAATATCTAAAGCATTCGGATTGATGGCCGGCGCGGGCGCGGGCCTCTGCAGTTGTAGGAAAGCTGCGATACTGTTCACTTCGCTCTCGTAAGACGCATCGGCGAGGCTACGGCCTTTGGCCGCTAATCTGCACGCGGCCATCCATTTTGCGTATTGTTGTTCCTGAAATAATGGTAATAATAGAATCTCAAGTTCAAAAGCGAATATTTGTAAATTGAATCAATTCTAATATTTAGACTGGGTTCTAAAAATTCTATCGTTTACGTTACATGCATATAGATTTTGAGTATGTGAGTTTTGGAATGCAACTTTAGTTTTCACTTCGTCAAGCTCATGAGAACTTCATTTGTTTTCGACGCAATATGTATATTTGTTGGCGTGTGGCCAAACGCCAACATATGGCAAGTACTAATGTACGTTTAAGAACGATTAATTCAATAATGTTGCCGTTTGGCAACGATACTCCACGTTAACTCAAATTAATCCACTTACGTTGTCGCATCTTATCCACATCTCAGTCATGCCTTCGGCACTGGGCACCTCCAGTCTGATCCCATAGCGACCTTGCGACAGATGCACATCCGGCGTGACCTCGCAGCCGCGCAAATTGATCACGTAGACTGGCGACTCTGAGCCGCCTGCCTCCTCCCTGCTTTTGTAGAGCCTGAGCTGGAGATCGCGGCACGTGAACCAATAACGCTTAAAAGCCTTCAACGTGAAACGTTTCGGCTTAAAGAAACGCAGTTCATCACAGAGCTCGGGCACCTGCGTGATATCACTGGGCCCGTTGCTGATGTTGCTGCCCTCCAGGGTCACTTGTAGATCCGTCAAGGCCGCGTCGATGTCGTCTTCAACGGGCGAAGTCGCTCCGTTGCTGTCGTATGTGGGTTGCGGCACGCTTGCCTGAAGATTCACTTGTACCTGTAACGGAGTATAGATAACATCGATTGTAGATTTTTTTTTCATTCTTTCCTCTCTATTCAACATTCATCGTGAGGACGGGGACAGTAGATATATAGATAAAAAATACAAAACATATTTTGTGGGTCGAGAAGAGATGATCGCATTCTTTCTCAATCGTGTTGTCGTGTGACGCCTATGGTGGACCGTACCGGCTGGCGAAGCAATCGGTTCAAGGACGCGGCTATTTGCATGATTATGCGTCGCGTGGGGTTTATCCCTCGCAATGGAGCGGCATAAATATATTAAGATGGGTGAGAACCGAACCAGCATGGTGAGTCGTATAGTTACAAAGAATGGAAGGAATATCAAAAACCAAGATATGAATGTATTTTAATGTCTCTATCCGCCTGCACAATACATTTGCGTTTGTCATATATTTATAAGTAAATCTCCATGTCGGTTCTTGTGGGACGGATTTGAAATTCAAATGGATTTTGTGACTTTGTAGATTTCAACAAAAAGAAATATTTGAGTATGAAACGCATTTCGTAACTTATTCAAAATCAAAGTCCTATTTAAGTTGTCTTATTCAAATAATTCTGCAAACGTTTAATGAATTGCCTATGTGTGTGTGTGTGTGTTCAACGAGTTTTATATATTTTATCATGTACGTTATAATAGAATTATTAATACACTATATATATATATATATATATATATAAAAGCATAATATAAATTATTGTATAATACAGTTACAAGGACTGTCATGGATATTATTATGTCAAACAGAGTACTTATGTTTTTAATTCTAGCTATCTATGCCATTTAGGCCTGATTGCAACGTGATTTTAAGCGAGACTTAAACCATCTCTATCTCTCTTTCGGCTTTAATACGAGATAGACAGAGTTCTAAGTCTCGCTTAAAATCAAATAATGTTGGTGCAACCGGGCCTTAATAGTTTATATTAAATAATTATTTTCTACAAACGTTTTAAAAAATTTAGTTACGATTGCTCATCATATAACGATTAGTCAATGTGTTATTTCTGTCAAGAATACAATCGTTTAGATACCTGAAGCGCCGCGAACATCAGCATCTCTTCCTCGGTACAGTCAATCTCCTCTGCGAGTAATTGCCACTTAGCTTGCTCGTAAATCATATTGATGCGCACTGCGTCGGTTTTTGGATTCAAATCGTAGAAGGAGTAGAATTTGAATTTCAGTCTAAGTGTGTCAAATTCGCGGATACCCTGTTCCATGATCGACAGGGAGGAATCCAGCCAGCTGACGTTCATTCTCGCCCTTTCGATCAGGCTCTTCGGCTTGATCAGCTTCACTCGCACGTCCGGTGAGATCGACGTCGGACTTTGCGCCAAGGATTCTGTTAGCCCGCCGTTTAATGCCTCGAGACTCATAGTGCTGTTATTGGCATTGAAGGAGCCAGTGCTGCCGAAGCCGGACGAATTGTTGTTCCTTTTCCATGTGCCGGTATGCTGAAAATTTGCAAGTATAAATTCGCAAAATACGCATTGACGCAATGCTGTAAAAATAATTACGATGGAACTGATAATTAGATATATCTACATTATTCAGAACTCATTTCTTGTGCAATATATCGTAATGGTAACGCTCCATAAAATTCCATCTTAACCCTTTCATTCCCAAATTATTTAATAGTTACAAAAAAAATATTTTTTTATTCTTATGCTCTACATGACAAATAACAATTCATACAAGAGTTAGAAACATTTAAGGATTTTTTGCGTATTATTTTTGTTGCAACGTGTATAATAATTTGTTACAAAGTTTATATATAATTTTATTATAGATAATATAAGATCTTTTTCTTACTTTTAGTCAATAAATATTTCATTTTAATTCTAAATATGAAGCCACATGTAAATGAAAGGATTAGGAAAGATCTCGCTTGTATGGTAAGTTTACCGAGACAGGAGAGCTGATCGGCGTGCTGTGATTTCTGTTGTTGGGCGTAACCGGCGCGCACATGAATGGGCTCGATTGATCTAAGCTTCCCGTAGATCCTCTGGGACTTTGGCTGGCCGGGATAAAGGTATTCGTATCGGCCGATACGTTCCAGTGTCCATTCTTTTGGTGCTCAATTTTTTTCTTTACTGGCAGATCTTTCAGATTGTATTTCAGGTGATTCGGTTCGAGCGGTTTGCAGAACGAGAGTTCCTCTGGATGTCTGATGCCTGCAACAGTAATCGTGGAAGATTTGCATGTTAATTAATCTCACACTATAGAGTCAAGATTATTAGATTGAGAAGAGAGATATAGAGACGCGTGTCTCCTTCGCTTCCGCACGAGGAGTCAAAGGCGAAGTAAAAACAGTCATGATATTCATTCCCTCTAGATATATTCTTACAAGGAAATGGAGTAATTGACAAAGATCGTGTGCAATACATTGGAGTTTATTTATGAATATGACACACTGATCTCATACCGTCGATCTAGTTAATAGAATCACCGACAGAAGTATAAAAATATGGTAGCTGCTGAGAGCTTGAGACAAGCTGAGTCGAGTAAACATCCAGTAGCCGCGTTGCTTCGGACAATGCTATAACATGATATTTCCCGCGAATGCGGAATTACTTTTTAGGTCATTAGTATAACGATAAGCTCGTATCTCTGACGGTACTTCCTTCTACTCGAGAGTCAGCTCTATCCTCGCGATGGAATTATCGCGTTAACCCACTTCCTTGATTAAAAAAGCGAGCTCGATGTTCATCGCGATGGCGAATCGACAGCCGTGACGGTTCATGCGACCTTCGCGTGACAAAAGCGAGCTTATCATTTTTATTTCGTTACCACGTACAATATTATAATTACCGCTGACACGCTTATCTATCTCGAAGTTACGACGTGCTTGGCACGATAGAACATGTTGCCATTTATTTATTCATAATATAATTTGTATGTAAATTTTTAATTAAATGAAAGGAAGAATCCTATTTTTTATCGAAATGAAAATATTTAATAATATTTTCATATGTAAATTTTTGCAAGCACACTTTTCAATTAAATTGTGCGCTAATTCGGTTTGTCGAACTTGAAACATAATTGCAAACTGAAACTAAAATATTAATATCTCAAGTTAAATTAATCATCACTTTATTAATTATATATATATTCATAAATTTTTAATATACGCTAAGAAACGCAACATAACAAAAGATCTCGTAATTTGAGAAGATTTCTTGCTCAATCGGCTCGTTACCAAAAAGACGAAATGACGTAAAGTCATTTAGATAATCATAGAAGCTCTAGTCAGACTGCTGTTGCAAAACAGATTACGTAAGACCATGTTGAATACCTATATATACATAGAGTATCTCTCGTGTTTTTACTCAAAATTAATTTTCTTCTTGAAGAAAAGACGCTGCAAAGTGTAAGACGAGAAAATGTTCTGGTCAAATGTATCTTGTACTACATTTTACAATATTAATCGCGATTGATATCTGTATTATACATTCTTTCTCTCGTAATTGTCGTTAACGAAGGCACGCTGGCTTGATTGACTTGCGCCGCATTCGTTTCTATCGCGCTTCTTAAACGGTGTCAATAGGTTCGCGACTCACCAAGTTCCTTGCACAAATTGATGACCGCGTTGAACGTCTTGACGGAAAAGTCGACGCGGCAGTCGAGGCATCGCATGTCCGGCAATTGTACCCTCAGAGTTTTGTGCATCGGCGTGAAATGCAGCAGCGCATCTGCCGCCACGCCATACTGATCCAAAGTGCTGCGTGTTCTGGTCAACCAGTGATTCCGTGCCGGCCACCAAAGTGCGTGGTCCGACCAATCCATAGCGATATCTATAACAAAAATGACGGAGAAGTTAAAGTAGAGGAAAGTCGAATGGGTGATTTACTTTTATAAAAAATTTCTTTTTTCAAGAAATACTTTAAAATTTGACTTTCTTTTCTCAAATTGATACTAGACAAATTATAAAAGTGTGCTGCTTCAATCTAAACTTCAAACTTTGAGGAAAATGTTATAGTAACTAAAAAACAATAAGTCTTAGGTAATGCTAAAAAAAATAAGGAGAAGCACAACAGCATCTTATACGCATTGAAGTTGTAGCGAGAAAAATAAACAAGTTGAGCGCGAATTGAGAAAGTACAGATATATTTGTAATAAATATGATAGAATAAAGTACAAAAAATATATAGTAATGTAAAATAATTTCATTAACAAAAAATATACTTAAAAAAAAAACAAAAAATATGTCATTATGGAGTAATAATAACTAATTTTATTATAGAAATGTTTAGCTACATAAAAAAAATATAATTGTCACAGCCTATAAAATGTATTAACTATAAATAGTAGTTATTCCACTATTTCATTATTATATATTTAATAACAATAGTTACATACAACTTAATTTAATACAATTAATTTAATAGTTACATACAACTATGCTGTTTTTAAATATTATGAATTATGTTTCTTTGAAACTTGTTTTGAAATCAATAACTCCTCTAATTCCTACTAATACAAAATTTCCCTGAAATTTGAAAACCTTTAGAATTTCATTATTGTTTTCGATCGCCACATTAATTCTACCATTTTAATAAACAATATTTAGCTTATTTTTTTATTCAACGTTTATATCGAAAAATTCGACCCACAGTGTAGTTTTGATGGTTCGCGTACAAGAGTAAAGTACATTAAAGCAATTAATTGACGGGATCATTTTGATCTCAAAATGTTTCTAGAATTATTTACTCTAAGAATGTTCACACTCCGAATTTTTTGCTCATCGTTTACGTCGAAAAATTCGACCCACAGTGTGGCTGTGCTGGATCGCGTACAAGAGTAAAGTACATTATAGCAATCAATTGCCGGGACCATTTTGGTCTCAAAATGTTTCTAGAATTATTTGCTCTAAGAATATCCAGAATCCGATATTTTACTCATCGTTTACGTCGAAAAATTCGACCCACAGTGTGGCTGTGCTGGGTCGCGTACAAGAGTAAAGTACATTAAAGCAATCAATTGCCGGGATCATTTTGGTCTCAAAATGTTTCTAGAATTATTTGCTCTAAAAATATCCAGAATCCGATATTTTGCTCATCGTTTACGTCGAAAAATTCGTCCCACAGTGTGGCTGTGCTGACTTAAGACTAAAGTTGGCACGTCCATCCATTTTTCAAAGAAAAATAGCAGCAAGTGAAAAATCAAGTACATATTCTTCAAGGGCTTTTTTTTGCTAATTTAAATTCTACTTCAAAAACACTAAAACCAAAATCCCCCTTATATTCCATCCGCCAGATTGACGAAAACAGATTTTAGAAGACTGAATCAAAACGCCATTTTGAACTTTCAAGTTTTAAATACGGATTCGTAACGAACGTCCCCAAAAACCACCTGTAACCAAATTTCAACAAAATCGAAGAATCTTAAAGATTTCCGTAACATTTCCGTCCGTCATATTGGATCGACTATTTCAAACTTTCAATTTTTGAGTAAAGATTCGTATCGAACGCCCCTTAAATCACCAATAAACCTAATTTCACCAAAATCGAACAATCTTTATGATTTCTATTAATTTTACGTCCGCCATATTGGATCAACCAGTTCAAATTTTCAATTTTTGAGTTCAGATTCGTTATTATCGGCCCCAAAAACCCCCGGATACGGAACCACATCAAAATCAGAGAATACCAATAGCCTCAACGAATAGAGGCTTCAAAAAAGCGTGACACGCCAATTTTAAGATAACTTTGAGTTCAGATTCGTAATTACCGACCACGAATACCCCCGAATACGAAATTACACCAAAATGGAAAAATCATTAAGTTTTCCGTTAATTTTACGTCCGCCATATTGGATCCACCAGTTCGATTTTCTAATTTTTGAGTTCAGATTCGTAATTATCAACCCCGAATACCCCCGTATACGAAACCACACCAAAATCGAAAAATCTTTAAAATTTCCATTAATTTTACATCCGCCATATTGGAACCACATCAAAATCAGAGAATACCAACAGCCTCAACGAATAGAGGCTTCAAAAAAGCGTGACACGCCAATTTTAAGATATGATGACTAGTTGCGGATACTTAAATTTCAGTGTTATCGCACTGTAGTTGACAGAACTATTTTGTTTTCTCTGAATGCGGAAAATCTATGTGAGTTTATATCTGTCTGTCAAGAATCTAGAGAGAACACGATGTTTATGTACGTCCATCCCAAGTAAATATACTTAAGGGTTCGGTGGCAGGTAAGGCCGGACGTGAAGACGAGAAGGGTGTCAAGTAAATCCAGGGGTTTTGTCCGTCAAAACCGCAGGGATCGCGCGACTGGAACAAGACATCCGTCGACGTTACGAAGCACGGACGTTTACGCTTCGCCGAAAAGTCAATTTTCACAGCTGTTCGTGCCGCGTCGCACATTTCCTATGGAGCTCCGTTTAACGACTTCGGGGTATCGAAGGTTAATGCGGGTTTCTAAGGGGGAAGTGCCGCTTAAAATCATTATTAAGCCGTAGACATGTGGGGCTGCAATTGCCAGGGGCTGTGCGCAGAGTTGATACACAAGACAGATCTCGAAATCGGATACGGATGAGCGGAAATGTACGCATATGAGAATGCAATTATGATATATAATAAATAATTAGAAAAAAAAGGTTAATTACAAAAATAAAAAATTGCTCTGTAATAAGAAATAAAGAGCCAATTGGAATCTGTGAATTTCCAAATGTGGATGAGTCGAAGATTTGCGAGATTCAAATAATATTTTTAAAAATTCACGTATATATATATATATGTAGCCAAGCGAAATACGTTTTTACTGCCGCTAGATTGGATTTACCGTGATCGCAGCTGCGATCTATAAATATTTCGCGGATTTTAGAGAAACCAACCGCTCGATCGTTAACTGTTTGTTTTCATTCGAATAGTCGGCCACTCCGCGGGTTCTCGGATTCGCCCACGCACAGAGAAGATAGAAAACGGATTTATCTCTTGTCTTCTATTTCCATCTGTGATTCTATATCTTCTCTTGTCCTGCATTTAACTGGTGACGACGCATGATAACGTATCGTCTACGCGACGATCGAGATCATTGCGAATCTCGGCTATTAACAGCGGGTCAGCAACAAGGTCTGGAAATCGTCACTGATACGATGTAGCTTGCATCCGGTTTAGCGAAAACGTACGATAAAGCCGCTATTTGCTGATATTGTGTGAGGAAATGGTTAAAGTGCAATGTGCAACATAGAATGGCACTCATGCTTTGTTACATTAACATTATGCAACATTAAAGATAACACAATTCGGGAGAGTAACTTGGACATGTGAAGTGACAGATTCTGATGTCTTTTTCTTAACAAGCTTTCCTCTCGCAATAATTTATTCATTTTATCATATTTAAATTAATTTTATTATAAAAATAATAAACTTAATTATTTCATCAATAGTTTAAATTTATATTATTTTATTAATAGGAAATAAATGTTGCTCAAGTATAAATTTTTATCGTTGTTATATCAAGCTGGATGTGAAAAAAACGTAGTGACGAATATATGAATGTTTAACTATACGTTAAAAAAATCATGGTATCAGCATTTCTAGAAGACTGAGGAGAAACAGTATCTCAATAATGTATTACAAAGATGCAAAAATAAAATTGAATACGTTGTATAAAAATTTATTCTCGAGCAATACTCATTTCTAGTTATTTATTTGGTTTGATGCACAAGAGGCATTGGTTTGCAGATGAAAGAGCACGGGAGCAAGTGGCGGGTCGATTCGTTCGATGCAAGAAAACGGCTGTCGCATAACAATAACTTCTCGATGTATACACATCGTGTACCGCTAGGAGCGGCATCGTGACACACAAACAGTCGGGAACTACGTTTCTTCCTGGTTGGACGGTCGCAACCCGCATTCCCATGCGCCGGAAATATGTCATCGAAACGATGTTGGAATAAAAAAAGAAACAGAGACGGCGAATCGAGATAACATCGAAAAGCGCAATTCATTAAGTTAAATGATATGTTTTATGATACGTACATACATATAATAAATAATTATATAAAGTGCTCGATGTTCTTTCAATTGTTGATTTCAAACAATATGTTACATCGAATGCGATTTATATTTCTGGATATTTGTAATTTAAACATTAATTTCTCTATTGGACTATTACGAGTTATTTTTCAATAAGGTTTCGATTAATCAAAAGTTTAATTGGTACAGTATACAAATCTACTATATAAATGTTAAATGGCTGTTTTAATCACTCTCTATTATATTTAGAAAGAATCTATTAAATAACTATTAATAGTTATATAACATATATAGTTCTATTAAATAAATATCAATTTTCTGACATCAGTGATTGACGAGATACGAATAGTTTTATGGCTCGCTGTGCTACTACCTTCGTTTTAATCGTCAAGAAACAACAAACTGAGAAAGTACGTGATTGATGAACCTGCGGCATCGTGGTCGACGTGAGCAACAAGTCGTATACGGGATGTCCTACCACTCTTGTCGTTCCTTTCACTCAGGGATTCTTCGACTAATTTGGAATTGATTTTTTCCTCGGTGAGTAACTGCTCGAGTACAATTTTTTTCGTTCCAAATGTTAGATTTCACTCCGAATCTTAGTAACTAAATTTGAAACATTGCAAAACTTATTAATTAACTGAAAGATACATCAATGTTTCAGCATTGAACAAAAAAATATTCTTTTAAACTATTCGACATTTTTCAAAATATTTTATTCTTTTCCATTGGCCATTATAAAAATGTTATATAGCTTCACCACATACACATAAACATCAAAAAAATGTATGATCCAA